TAGGAACTCCAGGCAGTTGAAGGCCACACAACACAGGCCTGTTAGATCCCAATCAGCTTAATGAGTCCATTTTCCGTACAAGTAGGAAATATTTCCAAAATAATAATAATAAAAAAAATCGGACGATGAAAGTCTGGGGCACTTCTAATTGAATGCTTGTTACAGGAAGCAATTCATTATATGCGCAACAATGTTATGCATTTATCAAGTTTCTTTTGTACTGTATTTAACTCAGCAATTTCCACGTCACTGGAATGAACCAAGGCAGAGAAGGATCAAGTTCCCAAATGGGTAACTTACTGGCCACATCTGAGATCAGAGATGAAGGTGTCTGATTTACTACTGCAAAGAACTAGTCAGCTTCTTTCAAACAGGAGAAGCTTATAAATTTAGAGCTGGAGAACCAAAATCCTGGATTCTCCCTGCCTGTGTGAGAGACTTTTCTACAAACTGTACCGGCTGTCTGCACCATGGGCAGTGTGTATAACAACTGTACACACCAACGATCATTTAAATATTTTGCATGCTCGCTGCAGTTAATTGTATGTGCAAAGTAAGTATATAACTGCACCCAGAGTTGGGAACTTTTTTGGAAGAGACAGGTGCTCTGCCATGGGATGTTGGAGTTCTGGGACAGTCGGGGGCAACTGGCCAGCTCTTCCTTCCTCGCCTCCCCCGTTTTGAGCCCACTGACCAATTTCAGAAAAGTCTGAAAGAAGGATGGAAACTTCAGCAACAACTGATTTCTAAATATCTTGCAATGGGCAGCTAAGCAGGAGCCCCAACTCAATGCTCACGGTAAAAGAGGCAGGAGAGCTTAGCCCACACATGCTCTGCATTTATCCAGCATGGATGTGAATACAGACTTACCCACACCAAATGCTGACTCTTGGCCAGCATGAGGAGACATCCAGAGAGCTGCAATATTGTGCAGCTGTTCTGGTGGGGCTGGAGTTACTGAAGTCCATGGATAGAAAGGACACAGCTAAGTTGGCAACTCGGCTTCATTAGTATGACTGTTGATGGAACATGTTATTTCATTGCTCAAAAGAAAACTTCAATATTAGTGGAACAGATGAAATTCACAAGGGAAACCACACCAAAAAGAAAAAATAAAGGAGATGAAGGCAGATGTTTTACATGCTGGTGATTCACTCTGAGACAAAAGAAAAGGAAAGAATATCCCCAACCATTTGGATCCCCAAATACTAAATATATAAACTTATTGCTGCGATAGCTCCTCCAGACATGAGTCATACATTTTAAAACCTTATGGGGTCGATGATTTTAACTTCATAAATTAATTACACCTCCAAAACCAGACCAAAACCAGACCAATGTATCCAGACTGGCTCATTTCAGCCTCTCAGAGCTGTCGATAAAACTGTGAGCTGAAATGCTTACCAGCAAAAGCTGAAAGCAGTAAATCAAATTTAATAGGCTGGTTTTGTGGACTGTACAGGAATGATGCCTGAAAAAAAACAACCCCAGCCTGAACTAATGGGATTCCTAAAGAATATGCAAAGACTGTTTCATTTCTACATGCCTAATGTTCTGGGTTTCTGTTTGGTTGTCCTATGTGCATAACCCACAGAATTTCTGAATTAAGACCAGCACTTTACATATAAAATATTTAGAAAGGCTTCCAATCCTGACAAAAAGATCTATTGCCTCCCTCAATAGCTGGTTCCTGTAGTTAATTACCCTCACTTATGTTTAATTTAAATTTGTATCCCTTCATTTTCTAGCAGCTTGATATTTTTTATGCTATTCTCTGCTACATTAAAGTGCCCTCCTCTTTCATTTATCTTCCCTCCATGTGGTCAAGTTGCCTTTTAACCTTTCCTTTGCAACAAATTGACATCCTTCTACCTCCCACTACAGATGACTGTGGCCTCTACAGGGAACAGAGGTGTTTGCGTTTCATTTATTTTCCTTTTGCTGGGGTGACATAAAGAAAAATAGTGGTTCCAACCTCATCTTTATTCTCTGCTTTTTTATTTCTCCTACAGCAAATACATTGCCAGTATATAATGCCGGATTGACAAGATGGAAACAGAAGTCAGAATTCTTTACTATCAAACCAACCCCACGGTGCCCCCCTTTCTTAGAGAGTTCTGTAAGACTATCAGCCTGGGTAGAGATCGTCTCCCCTGATATTTAGATTAGGAAATAAATGTTGTATCCCCAACACTGTGGAATAACTGTGGCCAGCAAATGTCAGCTTCTGTGGTAAAGCCACAAGCAGAGAGACCTGAGCTTGGTCCCGCTCTGGGTCAGGACCAAATAACTAATCTCAAGGCATGAAATGTAGTATCCAGTGTTCAGTACCCTGAGGCATCTTGTTCTCTGAGTCAAAAATAAACCTTCTTTAGGTGCAAGTGTGGCATTGCTGCTCTCTGCCTTCTCCATCCTCCAAATGAAACAGAAAAGCTGGAGAGGAAGCAAAACCAGCAACTTTCATTTCATTTTATAGTCAGCTGTAGTGCTGATGTTCCCTTAACACCGCATAACATTACTTTGATTAATCTAATAATAGTATGCCCCCAGAAATAGAATGACATCTGCTATTTAAGACTGCAGGTTTGGTACAATTATGCCTCTTGCAGTATTTGTGTCTCATTTCTTTCAAGGATATGGAACTTCACTTTTTCCATTAAAACTAGAAAAAGATGACTATAAACATGTCTTCTCCTGTGATATAAAGCTCCAACTACAGAAGATAGATCACACAAAATTACTCTTGTTTGCATTCTGAAGACAGAGCTTGTCATTAGAAAGATGAACACTTTATATTCTTCTTACATTTTCTAATATTATAATGACAGGTATTACAGCAAGCACCATAATCTGTTCCACTACAGTGCAAACAGTGCACATCATCTCCCTAATAACATTGCAAAATGGGAGTTCATAATTTTCTTTGCCTTCTGTCGGAATATTGCTGATCCATATAATTACTGCAGTTGCAGAGATGTGCAGTGTTGGGACAGCGTCAGTGCTCTTCTCTGGGCAGCTGCACTGAACTGATACTGGGACTGTACGGCTCCCAGCATTGTTATACTGGAAACATAGGTCTGAAAAGCTCTATTCATATTTTAATACCTGTTAAAAATTATAGGCAAGCTCCAGTTTCGTAGCTTTTAACTGAGAGATAGCAGCTTGCTGCCCAAGCTGACATGGATAAAGCTGTACACTCAGCAGGGTTCTACCCTTTCCTTGAGAGGGGCAAGGTCAGCAAGTCCAGTTCTTTTCACTTACATCTCACTTAAGAACAATAGCCCATTTTCAGCTTCTCCTCCAGTGACCGAGGCCAGAAAAGTCTATTATGTGGTCACAAATACAGGTAGTGAGGAGTTTTCCAACTCAGCAGATTTCATTTCATGGATCCAAACACAGATTTATCTAAAACATGCCCTGGGAGTATACTGGTTTGAGCTGAACTTGTGAGCAGGGAGGGAGGACACACACAAGGACGAGGAAATTATTTGCTTAGCAGGGGTTTTGCCCAGGATGCAGAAGGCCTGCATTCAAGTCCATGTTCTGTTGAATTCTGTATGAGGACATAATTCTGTCCCTCTGGTGAGACACATCCTCTCTGCCGTTTCAGGACCCACTGCACGCAGACTATTCACTTTGTGCAAAAACTGCCAGGATTAGTGATCTCATATGAAAGGAAGCACTGGACAATGACTTAGTTTTACCAGCAGCTCAATGACCTGAGAATGTTTTTCTTCTAACGTATACAGGGGCATTTAATCTCTTACTTTACTGGGATCTGTTTGACTTCACCTACCATTATCACAATGACATGTTGGTGAAGAGCAGAGCTAGCCATGGATTACGTACAGTACGCACAACAAATGTAATCAGGCTGAATTACCAGGGATTGAGTCTTGGGCTCCTGGAAATAAATTGCAGTATTACATTTGTCATCTGTGAGCCTTTAACAGCCACAAAACACTCACAGCATAGGCCTATGGTCAACTTTAAGCAAATTATATAGGGCACTTCAGACTGTGATTTAAGGTGAACTGAACCCTGCAGAGAAAGGTGTGTGTTCACCACAATTTATCTTCAAAGACTGTCTATAAATCCTAAAAAAGGAGGTGTTTGTTGGCTTTTGGTTGGTTATTTTTTTTTTTTCCTGTTGGGTAAGAGGGGCATTTTAATAGAATCATAGAATCATTTAAGTTGGAAAAGACCTTTAAGATCATCAAGTCCAACCGTTAACCTAGCACTACCAAGTCCACCACTAAACTATGTCCCTAAGCACCACATCTACACATCTTTTAAATGCCTCCAGGAATGGGGACTCAACCACTTCCCTGAAGTACTTCAGTTAACAGAGCTTAAAAACAGAGCAAAAATATCAAGAGAAAGAGGCCAGCTCTTCAGAGGTCCATCCGCCTGTATGAGCTACACTGCCTTAAATAAGGCTGGAGGACACAGCAACCCCTCTCCTGTTGAGCTGGTCAGTGCCACGCTCTGCGCACCTCTGGGATCATGAGGCACAGGGCTTCCTCTCTGCTTGCTAGCCTGCCTCTCACTTATGAGCCTGGGGAAAGCAAAGGGACAGCTCTTTTTGGGAATTGGTCATGCCAGAGAGCAAACATACAGAAAAGGGAATCAGATCTCATTTTTCCTGCTGGCTATGCCCCACATTAGCCCAGCCCAAAGCACCTCTCCTCCCCTTTCCTTGCTTCTCCTAGGTCAGTGGTGACATCTGTACTTTAATGGAGGTCTCTGAGGCTTAATTCATTACCCAAAAAGGGCTTTGAGACCATCAAGTGAAGGATGCTAGAGAAGTGCAAAGAAGTAATTCTTTAACTCATACTACAAGCTAGGTAGGTACCCTTGTATTTTTTCTTTTCCTTTTATAAAAACAAAATTCGTATCTGATCCTAGATACGAGCCATTCATTTCCTCCACCCTTCCCCCATGATGCATCCCACCTTGCTGTCTTGCCCACGAGGTTTGAAAAAGGGGGTCTGACATACCCAACAATCGAATTTGCGTGACTGCGCCATGTAAAACGAAGAACATCCAGAGGGGCTGGGAACAGTCCACGCAGACCTGCATGCCAGTGCCGGCACCGTTGTGACTCAAGTGCAGCTCACCATCTGAATTCACCATAAATCCCAGGATGTCTCCGCTCTGGAGGGGCACCACGACTCGGCAGATGGCCCAGAACTCCTTTCGGTCGACCAAAGACTCAGGATTATAGGGGAGGTCGCTGGGGCGCAAGGTGCTAGGGTCGCAGGACGTCACCCCGTAGGACAGGGTCCCTGTGCGCACGGCATTGGACTTGTTGATTTTGACAAAAATTGTTTCGTTGATACGAAGGGGTCTGCTGGTGAAAACCAAAGTCCTCTCCTCCCGGGCGTGCTCCAGACGGGCCACGGTTTGGTCATCGAGGATTTTGATGTGGGGTCCCCGGAGGTGGTGGAAGCGGAGGTCGCTCTCCAGCTGAGAGGGTAGGAGGTGGGAGTGCTGGGAGTTGAGGGAGTTCTGCGGGATGGGACACGTGGTGGCTGTCACATGGAAGGTCTCCTCCTGCAGGTTGAGGTCGCACAGGCTAACCGAGAGGCGTGTGTCCTCTGTCTCCCGCCGCAGCGAGGGCCGGCGGATGGCAGTGAAGGAGCGGGGCCGCAGGCAGTCGGGAGGAATGATTTCACTGTCTGCAGGGAGAGAGAAAACATAAAAGAGTCACTTCAGAGAAAACGAAAACGTCCAGGAGTTTGCAAATCGCTATTGCTCTGATTGATAAGTTTAAAAGAGAAAATCAGAGACCTGCTACCATTAATAAATTTTCCCCTTTAAAATATGGAAGCAGAGTATCATAAAATTTATTTGCAATCGATTGCTGTTCTTGTACTCTCCCCACCAGCATCACCATTTTCAGCTTCTGAGCAGGCAGACTTAAAATCGATGGAAAAAATTGACCAGGGAGGATCTCCTTGGAGAGGGGAAGCAGAGGGCAAATATCTGAAATACACCCTGAACATACCAGTCAATATCTCTACAGGCTCCAAGTTTTCATACCCTCTTTATTGTCTACAGTAATTCTCATAGATCTAGGAAACAAATATCTAACTACACTTTTTTTTTTTTTTAATTTTAAAACAAATGCTATGTTCAGTTCTAATTTATTTATCACCATATGAAATTTAATTAATATTCCTGAATATAATTAATCATTAGTGTTCTGGTGCTCACTGCAAACCAGTACAGATATGGATTTCACAGTGCAGAATTTAGGAATATGCAATTTTCTATAAATAACATACAATCATTTATTATCTCTAAGCCAAATGATTAAAAATCAAATCCATGGATACGTAACAAAGAAAGATGATGCTTACACATTCAAATCCACCAATGGAAACAGAACTGCACCTTATCCTCTTTGTTAGTCTCACCTGCTGTTTCAAGAGCTAATCATCAATTTATTTGATTTTTTTTCTAAGGAACATAATCACCTGACTTTCATGCCTAAATTACTTTTATTTAACATATCCTTAGCTATGCTGTTGCCATAGAAATTTTGAAGAGCAATATACTGAGAAAAATAATTTAAACAGATCATAAAAGTAAGCTGAGATAATGCAAAGGTTTATACTTCTGCTTGACTTTCTGAACTCTGAGAAGCCCGTAGCATCAAGAGACTATTCACTGTGAGAAAATTGAGCCTGTGGGTAGTTCTCTGCAAAGGTTGTAATAAGCTATGACCCATATTGACTGTTCCTCTGTGGGAACTATGCCTGAAGACTGTTGTGGCTTCAAGCCTGGGTCCAAACAACATGAGGTGGGACCACGCTATACAACACAATCCCCCGTAGGTGGCACAAAACAACACGCCAGACCCCAGCCCGGGCCCTGCCGCAAACATGGCACAAGGTGGAACAACAAGAAGAGGCAGAGGAGCAGAGACTCGTTCCTAACCCACCTGCTAGGCCCTTGCAATGGGCACCTTTTCCAGCCACATATCCTTGGGATTTTCTTTTACGATGACAAAAGAACAGGAACTTAGGTTATCTGAGGATTTTCCCAATGGGCTGCACCCTCTCCCAGTACACCAGAGTAGTGGCTCTGTACTGGTGAAAAATGCCACCTACTGAATAACCAGCATCTCCTGCATTATCTGAGGTCCAACAGCCTTTCTTGCCCTCCTCTTCTGTGAGCCCTGACAAGAGCACACCCACACACAGTTTGGCTTCAGTAGAGCTCTTTGCTTTCCTTAAACTGGATTATTGCAGGCTCCTCTTTAAATAAACTGCTATTACAAGGCAAGCACAGTCTCAAAGTAAAAATGGGCTTTGTTTCTCATATTTGATTTTCCCCGTGCTGGTATTTCAGCTTCTCTTTCCAGAAGTTAATTAAAGAAAAGGAGGAATAAATAAAATCAGAAATTACCCCAAGTAATTTAGAAGTGGGTCACATTAATGCTTTGTAATATATGGGCTAGCATTTGCATTGCAAGTGCTCCTGCTGGATAGAATTAGGCTTATTTTACCCTCCTTTGGCTGGAAACCCACATAGGAGAACAAATTAATACTGGCAGCTGATGACGATCCTTTGGTGTAGGTGAATGGGTAGAGACCTTTTTGAACAGGAACAGAAGGTCCTCTCTATTTTATTCCCTGTAACTATGCATGTGCAGCCTGGCTGACAACTGTGATGTGTGGGTAGCTTGCAGCCAGGGTTTTGAAACAGCTTGTTTTCCACCAGGATGCTTGCATTTCCCTTTGGCTGCTGGACAAAATATCTTTTTCCATCTGAAAAGAGGTTAAGAGACATGGAGTTCTTCTGCAGACAAGACACATGGCAGTGACAGCAAACCAGGGTTACACATCCAACTGTTTTACTTAAATCCATCAGTAGCTCAGATGCCTAGACACATAAGGGATAAGATTTCTCAAGCATATGGGATTGACTGTGAGACTTAGTTCATTAATGTTTGCAAATACCCATGGAAGAAACGATTGCAGTTTACTGGTATCTGAAGTGGGTTTGTGAAAATTTAGAGATGAGTCTCTAAGAGACGCTGGCCTGCTCCAGGGCTCTATGATTTTATAAATCACAAAATACCCAGCCAAAGAAGAAAAAAAAAATCCCATTGAATAGAAAGTAAAATAAAAGTAAGATTAATCTTTTGGGGTGGTAGGTAAGTTGGAAGAGATGTGGAATGCCATTTACCGAGAATAACTGATAACGGCCAAGGGCTATGCAAGAAAAATTCTCACAAAATGTGAAACAAATTAGTGACTTTGAGCAGTTTCTTTCACCAGAAGATGCCCAGAAATGAGTGGTTTTCTTCCACTAAAGCTTCAGTTGTCACTTTTTAAACACAGACCAAGCTGTTCATGCTGGAGTGGACCATAATGCAGCCTTACTCCTGCAGAACATTTACAACTGACCTTTAATGCCTACAAAGGAGGGACTCTCTGTGTAGGAGTGTTCAGGCACATTTATATTTGCAGAGACAAACCTGGAGCACACATCAGGAGACTGAATGACTTTATGTGACAAGACTGTAAAATACAAAACAGGTCCAATGGCCCATTACAGAGGAGATCACTCAGCTTCAGCCTGAAGAATTTAGAAATCATCCCTTCTCATTAAATATTCAAGGTTATAAAATTTCCTGTATAAGGGAGTTGGCAGTGTTTCTTTGGGAAAAGTCAAGTGGTGAGAGACCTCCTTGGATGAGAGTAGATGGACTTGTGAGCGAAGACCACAGCTCTCATTGAGTCACCAGAGCAAGCTTTAACCCAGCTGGCTGGGGTACCAACAGCAAGCTGGCTGTGACCACAGCAGCTCGGTGCAGGCTGGCCGCCCAGGTAGCTTTCCAGGGAGGTTTTGCTGAGCTCTCCATCAGTGCAGTTAAGATACCAATGCCAGATTTAGAGACTTAAAGTCTCTGGTAGCAATATAGACACAGCCAAAGCGAAAAGGATTTCTACTAAATACAAAATTTCTGCTCCTCAGCTGGAGAATCTGACACACTGAATTTTTGTAAAGGATCCCTAACTTCAAAAATCCCTTTGCATGGCTTTGTTTAAGAAAAAAAGTGAGTGGGAGTAGCAAAATACAATGGAAGGGCACTTGAGCAGTTCAGCTGTCTGTTTTCTCCTCCTCTTTAGTGGGGTTTATCTGCAAAATTTAGATTCTCAGCAGCTGATGACTCACACAGAAAATTAACTTGAAGTATCTTGCTCAAGCCAGAGGCTTCAAAGATCTCTGTTTTCCTGCTCAGAGGGCATGGAAGAGTCTCCTGCTTCATGCAGGCTCAATGAAACTGCAGTAACACTTTAAAACAGCACTTACAAGGAGCTGGTGAGCAGCCAGACATAGCTGTAATCGCTGCATCCAGATCAGAAGTATTTCACTACCAGCTTTTTTTGAATGACTGCCGAATGTTGTCTTCTTAAAATCACCTTTTTCCTTGAACATGTATCATATGTATAATACATATTTATTACTGATATCACATATATGCACTTTTAATATAGCTCTATATACCTCCAAACACAAATGCATTTCTAATCACCAGCATGCAAAGATCATCTCAGCCCCACACAACCCGAAGGAGATGTGTTGCTGTCAGACTGTCAAATCATTATTTCCTTCCTCTTTTTCAGTACTGTTACTGCCTGAAGGCTTGACTTTCCAAGGTCACGAGCAGACAGCATTCACACACCTGTAAAGGATCTGAGAAAGCAGAGCAAACTCAGCACACACACACACACATGCTGGAAACTTGCAGAGTCCAGTATTTAACTGCAGGCTCTAGGGACACAGATCTCCTCCTCTTGGTGAGTTTTCTGAGATTGGGGTAATCCTATAGCCTCACATGAATTGTATTTCTCTAGAGTATGAGGGCTGCAACACCTCTCCAGAATGAGCTATAGAAGACCTAGTATAAATAAACCAATCTTGAGACTTATTACTACAAAAAATAACTAAAAATTTGGGGAATCTGACTGATAACCTAAGAAGCTATCCCATTTCTACTGATCTTCCTGCCCAGGAGAAAGAAATGCTAAGAAAACAAGGAACGACCTAGTTATTCCTTGCATCTGGAGAACATTTCTGTCCTCAGCTACTAAGCAAAGAATAAAAAACTGGTAAGGTCAGAACCTCGCTGGTGTGGTCCTTCCCTTCCTATGCACAGCCCTGTATTCTTTCCTTCCTTCTGTTCTTTGCTTTACTTCTTCACAAGTGCATTTTTCTTCTCTTAATCCCTTACTTCACTGGGTAATGGTATTTTTAGTGAGTACTGGTGCTCATCATATAATTTCCATGACCAAGGAATCTCAGAGGTGTTAAGCTACCAAAAGACATCTTGAAGGCAGTGTGCCCTACAAGAATATTCTATGTAAATACACAACTGCAAAAGGATGTGTACTGTATTATTCCCACCACGCTGGAGGGGCTCCATTCCTACTCAGGAATGCAGATGAAGGCTCCTTTTCCCACCATCAGCAGTACCTGTCGCAAGGGGTTACACAGGGAGGACAGGTGGCCTTCCAACTCCTGGAATCTTGCACTGTCTCCTCCATGGTCTACAGCAAACTCAGGCGGCAAACAGCCCATTTGGCAAGACTTTGACATTGCAGGGAGACGTGTTTGAAACATGAGGCAGATGTACCACGCCATAAAATAACATTGGACTCAA